CTTAAACTCACCAAGGTGTGACAAGCGACCTCTTCCGTGCCTGGGCCTCAGTTTCCCCACGTGTACAGTCTTCTAAGTCTGAGGACATCTGAGGTGATGCCTGGCGTCCTGCCTGTGGCCCTGGGGCGGGCACAGCCCAGATGGGCCCAAACTGCGGCCGCGGGTGGTGGTGGCGTCGAGGCCGGGCCGGTGGCAGTTCCTGCCCCGAGTGACCCGCTCTCCCCACAGGGGCAAGCATGGCGTGGGCCGCATCGACATCGTGGAGAACCGCTTCATCGGGATGAAGTCCCGAGGTGAGTCTGCCGCCCCCTCGGGGCCGGGCTCGGACCCGGAGTCCCCTGAGGTCCCCGTTCCGTTTGGGCATTGTGCCTCCCCTGCTACATCGGTGACGGGGCCAGTCCCTTTGCCCCCACCAGACTCCGTTTCCCTCCTGAGATGGGGGTGGAGGGTGCCTTGCCACTGGCTTCAGTGGGTTTTGTGGGAAGAGCTGTCTCAGGGCAGGGAGGAGCCTGGGGGTCCGAGGGCAGGCTCTTCTGGGCCCGGTTCTGAGGCAGACGGTGCAGGGCTGATTTCGTGTCATTAAGGCTGGACGGAGGCCGGCTGGCAGGTAGGGGGGTCCTGCCAGAGAGGGCGCCGTGGGCTGCACAGGCACTGTGAGCAGCCCGGAGGTGGTGGGTGGGGGCTTTTATAGGCCAGGGCTGCCACCTCGGCTAGACTGCCCAGCCCCTACCGCCTCTGGCTAGGCCAGGAGGGAGAAGAGTTTGGACCCCAAGCAGGCGCCTCTTTCTTCTCTTAGTATCAGAGCCTGTGACTCCCTTTGTCCGTCTCTCACCCCGTCATCGCCACCACACCCTCCCCTCGAGGACCCAGTTTCCCCATCCATACCAGGGGGTCTTGGCTCCCTGTGGGTCTGGGAGTTCCAAGCGGGAGGGGGCCAGCTTTCAATAGTGAGAGCCCTGGAACTGGGTACCTGAACTTTTAGGTACGGCTGTGGGGTTGGGGTTCCCTGTGTTGGCAGGTGTTCATATCGCTTTGCTTAGGGTTGATCTAAAAAGATCACACAACCAGATAAATCCAGGCCGAGGTGTCATCATGGCCTTCGCCCTTCAAGACGTTTAACGAAGATCCTAAAATCCAAAGAGAGCCGAGGGCAGGTTTCAGCTGTTGGAAAAAGGGCTGGTGCGGGAGGCAGGATGCTGGGGTTCTCACCCCAACGCGACCCTGCCCTGCCCAGTGACCTTGGGCTTGTCATTCTGGGGCCTGTTTCCCCAGGTGCCTTGCGATAGGCGTGTGCGGGGAGCCCATCCTTGGGGCTCAGAGCTGTTAGGGTTTGCCTCTAGAAGTGTAGGGAGTGGCAAGTGGCCTCGCCTCTTCTGTGGGGCTGGGCGGTGATGGAAACAACCTAATTGAAACTCTCTTGGAAAGGCCTTGTGGAGAACAATAGTGCTGATTAGCTGCTGCCTTTTACCCTCTCTTACCTTTGTCTCTTACCTCTATTCACATCTGATTAAAAGCCCTTTTGTCTCAGTCTGCCCTTGGGAGCCCTCACAATGTAAGCCCTCCGAGGCAGACCTGGGAGGGACCTTGGGGAGCCTGAGACCAGCACCCTCAACTATAGACGAGAAAGCGAGGCTCAAAGTTACAGGCACGGGGGCGGCAGGCCCTGGACGGATGCCCCAGATCCAGACAGGCTAAGAGCTTTAGTCTGGAGTGTGGCCCATCCGGGTTCTAGCCCGGGTATTGCAGCAGGACCTGGAGCAGGGGAGGTGCTCCACAAATGACTGTGGCCCCAGGAGGATGCTGAAAGGACAGGGCAACCTATGTCCTCTGGGAGCTCAGAGGGGTCCACTAAGGGCCCTATTGTCATGCCCCTTCTGTGCCCTTGGCAGGCATCACTAGTTGATTGTGGATGTGTCTCCGTGCATCAGGCAGTCATGACCAGTCTATCAAGATTGGTATTTATGGTGAAAATGAATTTCCTTATTGGAAAGCCAAGCACTGGCCTGAGGTCACTCTGAGGTGGCCTCCTGCTAGGCAGGGAGAGCCAAGCAAATTGGAACTGAAGGAGGTAGTGATAAAGGCCTGGTCTGGACTATTCTGGGAAGACATCCTGGAGGAGGTGGCGGGAGAATAGGCATCAACCGGTAGATTATGGGCTAGAGAAGGTGGATCGGGAGGAGTAGGAAAGGTAGGAGGTGCCCCAGGTGGCCAGTTGGCTGGTGGGTTGGATCTGATGGGGGCTGAACCCCTGGAGACCTGGCAGAGGTTGGTATAGAGCAGTGATGGCGAACCTATGACACGCGTGTCAGAGGTGACACGCGAACTCATTTTTTTGGTTGATTTTTCTTTGTTAAATGGCATTTAAATATATAAAATAAATATCAAAAATATAAATCTTTGTTTTACTGTGGTTGCAAAGATCAAAAAATTTCTATATGTGACACGGCACCAGAGTTAAGTTAGGGTTTTTCAAAATGCTGACACGCCGAGCTCAAAAGGTTCGCCATCCCTGGGATAGAGGGTCTAGGCTTTGGTGCCCGGCTTGAGTCCCCATCCTGGCTCCATCACCCCTGTGAAAGCAACAGCCTCCCTGAACCTCAACTTCTTCTATGAAATGGATTGTGTTAGGTCAAATCTGGAGAGCGCTTGGCCCACCGTAGGTGCTGAGCCTGGGTGGTAGACTCCATCTTTTCCCCAGACCTGGGCGCCATCACCATTGCAGGTCAGAGCCAGGAGACTAGCAGGCAGCTCTGACTTCTCTGGTGAGAATGCCACCCAGCTGAGGGACAGAGGCCTGCAGTAGAGCCTGCACCCCGCCCAAGTAATGTGTGTGTACCCGAGGGGGCTGTCCCTCAAGGCACAGGATTCGGTCACACAACTTGCTGTGTGGCCTCAGGCAAGTTGCTCTCCCTCTCTGAACTCCAGCCGTCCACATCCACGGTGGGGAAGACGAGGTGATGTTGTCATCTCCCTTTGGAAGTTCTAAGTCACCTATTTTTCTTACTTGGTTTGGGGGGTGAGAGAAGAAAACTGTTTCCTAATTTTAGGCGGTATCTTGTTATTTCTCCACGCCCAGTGGTTTGTAGTGAGAAGGAAAGAGCGGGGCAATAAACTGGGACACTATGGATTCGCCCGCTACGGGGTGTCAATTAAGTCTACGGTAATGGGAGAGGCTGTTAATTGCCAACTCTATTGAGGGCAGAGTAGGAGGACTATTGTCCGTATCTCTGTGACAAGGGGAAATGTCACTTGTATCGATTTTACAAAGCTCGTAATTGCAATTCGTTAAGGGCTTGTTTATTTGTGTTGTGTTTCGGTTTTTTGTTTTTATTTGGTTGGTTTTCTGTGCGTTTTTCCCCCAGGAGTTGCGGTGTCAGGGAGTTGGGCAGTGCCGGTGCGCTGGGCCTGAGGTGG